CAGAAGTAGGCGGGTGTCTGGGAGTTTGAGGCCAGCTTGGTCTACAAAGTAGGGGCTACTGGGAGACCCTGTCTCAAAAAGACAATAAAAAAATAAAATAAAATAAAAATAAAATAAATAAAATAAAATCACGAAAACATGTTCCTTACTGACTTCACTTTGATCCCTCAAAGGTGTGGTTTCTCCCTCTTCAACTTGACAGTAACTTCCTACAAATTTGAACCATGTACAGTTAGTTACCAGGGGCGCCTGCGGAGCCAGCCTGCATGGGTTCAGCTATAAATCATGGGTTCTGTCGTTTCTTTGCACCTTCCTCTCGCTGCTCTATGGCTTAGTTACTTCATCTGCAAAACGAGGACAATAATATACCGGCATTAGCAGGTATTAATCTTGTAGATTAAAGACGTTAGTAATGTAAAGGGTGTAGAAGAGTCCCTAGCATTCAACAAGCGCCCTGTCTTGTGTACTATTACGAAATGTCTGTCTCCTGTCAGTATGACACCTATATTATTCATTCAACAGAAACCGATGCCTCAGAATCCATTTGCAGGGGACTGGACCCTCTTTCCTTGCCTCCATCTGATCAGGAACTGGACGAGAAAGGCAGAAAAAAAAAAATTAAAGGGTACACCTGTCTGCATTGAGAAGCTTCCCCGTGTCCGTCTCCTTCAAAGTGTGGTCGGCCTGAACCAGCACTATAGCATCACCCGGGAGCTAAGATCTATTTCTGTCCTTCCAGGAGTTCCCTTGAAGGCCGGTTGCCGGCTGGAGGTCAATCTCCGAGGATGCAGAGCAGTCAGAACTCGTCCAGGAGTGAAAGCCCCCGGCTAGAGCGCGTTAAAAGGGCTAATTTTTACTAGCCCACGCCTCTGCGGCGGTGAGTCCTAGGTTATCTAGGTGACTGCCTGGACAAGGTACCGGGCGGCTAAAAATAGGCCTTGCGCTTTTCGCTGGGGAGGTTGGAGGGGGGATTCCGGAGTGGAGGGGCGGAGTCCCCCGCATCCGCTCGCTCCTTTGCCAATCGCGTGGAGCCGTCGGGCGCTTAGCGGCCCTCTCCGGGTACCGGAGTCCACAGAGGATTCAACAAGGCACCCACATCTCCGGTGGGCGACATCAGCCCATGCAGCTCCCCTCCGGGCCGCTAGGTGACTCTAGTCTCTCGCTGCATTCCCAGTTTCCTCTTCGCGCTCAATCTCCGCACCCCTCTCGCTCCACTGCAGCGGTCTCGCGAGATTTCTCGACGATTTACAGAACCGGAAGTTGCTTTCAGTTCTCTTCCGTTTTGCGAACATCGGTGAAGTGGCACCCGGTGAGACTGTGGTGAGGGAATCAGGGGTCATCCGCAGCCATCCATATCGGGGCTGCATGGCTTTCTGTCTCCGGGGTCTCGAGATTATTTTACTGATCGGACATTAGCCGGGGAGTGATGCCGCGATGGGCTCAGCCCGCTGCCTTCGTCGCCAGGGGCCGCAGGGCTGGAGAGGGGAGAACTGCTTACGGGACTAGAAAACCCTGGCGGGAGGGATGACTGTTTCAGTAAAGACTGAACATTGTAGTCGCCTAAACAGTAGCTTCGAAACAGTTGTGCATGGTAAGGTCCTCTAGCCCATTGGAAAGGTTTTTGGACCGGAAATCGGTGCCCGAGTTTCCAGGCTGGAGGTGGGGAGGCCTGACTTTCGCTTTGTAGGGGATGAGTATAGTCCCCTTGAGTCCATAAAAGGTGAAAGGAGAAGGCTAATCCTGCTAAGTCTTTGTATTTGAAAAGTTAGATTATTTGCTCCTGATCGAGGTATTAGCAAATCCATTCCTCAACGAAATACTTTTTTTAGACTGTAAACAAGTCATATCTAAAACAACTGTTAAAATGACAGTCTCCAGCCCCAAAACACTTTGAATTTCAAGTTTCTTTCAAGCTAGGTCATTCAAGGTTTGACGGAGTAATATTTTATGACATCCTCTGTGAACATTTTAAGCTTACGAGGTGAAGCTGTTTAGAAGCTGGATGAGACTAACCGTTAAGTGTCTGAAATTTTTTTATTTAGCCAAAATGAAGTTCAATCCCTTTGTGACTTCTGACCGAAGCAAGAACCGGTAAGCCCCAGCTTTTGGGTTTTTAAGTCAAGCAAATGTATTGTTTATTCAAAACCCCAGCTGAGAGTTGGAGGAGCTCAGTAGTAGAGAAAGTGCTTAGCATGAGGTAGACTCTGGGTTCAATGCCCAGCTCTAAAAAAAAAATAATAATAATAAAATGAAACCGAAAAATAATCAATGCTAAAGATATCTTCAGTATGCACACCTGTTGCCTGGCTGGGAAACCATCCCAAGTAGAGCTGAGAACTGCCAGACCACTGGTTTGTGCCTCAAGAGAGTTAGCTACTGGCTTTGTAGGGCTGTTTTGTACAGTTTAAGGACATGACATCTTATATATAACAAGCACTAAGAAGTAAGGCAAAAAGTTTCATCATCTTGGTGTTCCTAAATTCTTGTGGATTTCTTTGGGCCCCATATTGAATTGAATGTCTTTGTTTTTATTCCCCCTTTCTTTTTTTGTTGTTTTTGTTCTGTGGGGTTTTTTTGTTTGTTTTGTTTGTTTGTTTGGTCTTTTTGAAATAGGCTCTCTCTGTAGCCTCGACTGGCCTGGAACTCGCTATGTAGACCAGGCTGGCCTCAATCTCAAGAGATCTGCCTGCTTCTGCTTCTCAAGTGCTGGGATTAAAGGCATGCACTACCACACCTGGATCCTTTACTTTCTTAAAATTTTAGGATTTAAGCAACTACCTCAGGGTCAGGGCACTAGAGGAAGATAAAATTTGACAGACAGATAGATAGATGAAATATAAACAGAAGGATGGGGTTAAACCTAAAGTCTAATGCCAGGTGTAGTGGTACAAGCCTGTAATCCTAGCATGTAGGAAGCAACAAAGGCAAAAGGATCTTGAGCTCAAAGAGTAGTGGGGGAGGGCCTGGAGAGACAGCTCAGTGGTTAGGAGCACTGGCTGCACTTCCAGAGGACCCAGGCTCAGTTCCCAGCACCTACATGGTGGCTAACAACCATCTGTAACTTCAGTTCCAGAGGATACAATGCCCTCTTCTAACACATGATGCACTTACATACATGTAGGCAAAACACTCAAACACAGTAAATAAAAATAAACTTTAAAAGTTTTTAAAAAGAAATAAAAATGGGGGCTGGAGAGATGGCTCAACAGTTAAGAGCACTGACTGTTCTTGCAGAGGACCCAGGT